TTTTTTTTTTTTGGCCCCAAAATTATCCGCCCCCCTAAAAAAATCCCAGATCCCGGCCCCCCGTTTTTGTAGTTTTTATGTTTATTTTTTTGCGAGGGGGTAGGGGAGCCCCCCCCCGACTCGAAACCCCTTCCCCGCCCCCCAAACCCCCTTCCATTTCGGTCGCGGCCGCTGCCGAAAGTTCTCGACCGGAGCGGCCGCGGCCGGGGGGGTCCCGACCACGGCCGGCGGCCGCGGCCGTGGCCGAATTCAGCCGCGGCCAAAGGGAAACATAGGTACCTGGTGCTCAAGAAGATGTTCAACAGGCGTTGGATGGTGGCGAGGGTCGTCAGGCAATGGAGGGGATACAAACAGATGTTGTGGCAAGCCGGGAGAGCATTCGTGGTGGGGAGCAGAGGTCGTATGAACAAGGAATGCAAGAGAGTGCAGGGAATGAGATCCGAGGGCCAGTTGGTGCAGACAATGCAAGCAAGAACAACAGCAATGAAGGGTTGCAGCCAGGACCAGCCTCGTTAATTGGAAAAGAGCCACATCTCCAATCCAAAAGCAAGGAAAACAGTGTCAGATACCCCGGGATATTGACTCAGCTGGACAACGTGTATGCGAGCATGGGCCTGTCAAAGATCCCAAGAGAGAACCAATATAATGTGCCCCAGGAGGAAAATGCACAGGTTCGCGGAATGGACGTCAACGCCATCAAATTCGCGCTCCCGCCCGACGAGGATGACAAACTGATGTCAGGAGACACAATTCGAGAGGACATGAAGGAGTTCACCGGAGGTCCGCACTTCTTGCAGCACATTGGGATAGTGGTTGAGACAAAAGACCACCAATGGGGGCATCATATATTGTGGCACCCGAAGGTCTTCGAGCCCTGCGTATGGAACGGGAAATGGCACATGGCTGTGTGCATCGATGGCCAGTGGCAATTGCGAAAGCGAGTATTGAAGAGCAAGTTTTTCGAAATCGCAAAGGAACAGGTTCATATCAAAGTGCGGCAGGCGAACGGTGGATCAGACAGCCTTGCACAAGGAGCATATGCCGACACACTTTATGACAAGTTGCGAGATTAGAACATGCTGGAGTACAACGCAAACTTTTATGACATTGACTCCAGTGTGTCGCACGGTCAGATCCCTTGGAAATTGCCAAGTCGAGAAGTGGTGCAAGAGTTTGAGATGAGATACGTCTTGGCAACAGTCAACAATTGGAACATGACGGTGGCCACGCTTCGACGAGTACAGCGTGACGTCCATTCACGACCTCCGTTCATATTGACGAGCAAGTTGATGAGAGGAATGGTATGGAAAAATTTGTGGGCGACAACGACGAGTCAAGAAGAGATAAAGTGCAGGCCGAACATCAATCGTTCCATCCCCCGTCGCAACGGGAGGATTCCGCGGAGGACAAAGAGTCAGCGGATCGCTTTGCGACAATGGAATCTCCCAAGGTTTGCACGGGTTCGGAACCGCAAATGGCCACGGAACCAATGCCCATGCAAGGAACTGAGTTGACAAGAGAAGAGTCGGGGCCACAGTTGAAGGGGATAGAAGATTTGTCAGAGAACACACCTGATTTGATGCTTCGACTGCTTTCTGAAGGCGACGTACTCAAGGGTGGGTCAGGTGGTGTACAGAGGAAAGAGAACGTTGTGGCCTCAATGGGAAGAGACGATGACGAACTTCAACGAACCACGACGATTGGCGACAAGCATCAACAGCCTAAGCTCAAGAGAGAGGATGACGATGATGTCATTGACATCGGGACACAATCAGGTGAGCAATCAGGACGTGGTAGGGACGAGGAGGGCCGACAAAATGAGAAAGAACAAGAGGAACACCACCATGTGACATTGCAAAAGGAGGATGTAATCTGCAATGAGAAGTCAAAGAAAGTGAACACAA